TGAAGTAACAATATCAAGTATATAACGTAACACTTTTATAACATGACAACATGATATTTATGTATGCTGCAACACGGTTACCTGATCTTCCACAATCATGACAGCTAATGAGCTGTTCCGGCTTCATTGTTTTTTTGTTCTGATTGCAATCACCCAAGCATAAGTCGCAAACCGTGGACACATCGATACTCGGCGACAGCACTGAAAAGCACTCATGATGAGCAACCCGCAAGCAACACAGAAATCCAATTTAAGTATGCTGTAATGGATGTAGCACATTTTCCAAACAGTTGTAGTGGTCTCTGCATCTGTTCCACTATTTAGGGACCGCTTTTATCCACGGTAATAGTCCTGGAATGGGATACATATGCCTATCTCCACTCATGCATTTTCGTAAAGACATTGCAGTCGACAAGCCACCTTAAAAATTAAGCAATCTCTGACCTTCTGGTGGTTTCCAAATTTGAAAAACTTCAGTTTTTCCGATTTCTTCAAAATACTACGCTTTGTTGTGTTACTGCCAAAAAAAAGCCTCATTGGAGAAAGTTTTTATACTTATTAATATATATAAAAAAATACTAATTGGACATTTCCGAAAGCAAATGGATAACAACAAATTGTGTATCACCGAAAACAAGCATTTTTTGATACAGTTATAGTTTGATAAAGTAAACCCGTTTGAATCGTTGTAACGATAAGCTGAGAAAGTTCTGGATGCTACCCGGAGATGACAACTACCCAGACGTTTGTTTCCCTCAGCAATAAATAAACTGGTAACCAATAAAGCAAAAGAATCAATCAATACGATGTGCTGGTTGGGGCGTTGTTGATGGACTGACATTATCTGCATGCACATGAGCTCGGTGATAATTCAAACCCGGACGACTTTTATATTTGGCACCGCATACTGAAAATCAGATAAACTAATTAAAATAAACTTGGAGTTTAATGCTACTAAATTTGAGAAATTAGAGTCAAAAAATATTTCCAAAATTATTCACTAAAAAACAAAAAAATGAGGATGTCATTAATGCTACAAATGGAAAATCTTTGTGGAGTATAAAAAAAATTTCCAAAAATCTTGGAACACTTACAATTACACGAAAAGGGTTTGGGGTCCGGCGTGAATCCTTGAGTAAGCGGTATATTGACTGATAAACTTGTAGCATTTTTGCGCCCGCCACGACTTCCACCTGGAGCACCTCTCCTTTTCCGTTTTTTCCTCCCATCTGACCATTCTTCTTCATCTGAAGCTTCGCCAGGATCTTCTTCACTTGCTTCTTCCACTTCCATATCTACTCCCGATTCCTTCATGTTCTGCAAAAATATCATTATCAAAATTTCCTCATCAACAACTAACCAACGAACGAATGAAAACTGACGACAGTTAATCGGTCCATAGCCAGCAGCGATACTAGCTGATATCTTTATAAATTCCTTTCACGATAAAAAAAATTAGCCGCAATATTTCAAACGATATAAGCTTCTTAAAAAATCTGCACATAAAATAAAATAAATAAAATTGAAAATCAGCTATTTCCCTCCTTCTATCATAAAATATCGCACGCAAATTATTGAAGGAAGGACTTACATAGACTTTCCTTTTTTCAGTAAAATGATTTTCCAATGTCGAATTCGCCATAGCTGTTAGCGACTGAAAATCAGTTGGATCTAAAAAAAGAATATTCAGAGAATAAATTTCTGATAGCATACATGACTGCTGGAATGATGGAACGCATAGTTGCCTCAGTTACCAAAAGCATCGCGAACAGTTATTCAGAATCCTTTGTCAAGAATTAGCAGAAAATTTTATGAAACCATTTTAAAGCAAAAACATGAAGAAACTTGCAAAGAAATAAAAAAAATAAGATTTCTGATAGTTACCTTGGCCGGCTGAACTGGCTTGATTTATCACATCACTAATTGCTGGATTACATTCTAATATATATTTCATTTCGGTTGCATCCGATGTTGGCGCTGATTTTCGTTTTTTCCAACGCCTGCTACCGTATGTGCAATACTGCAAAAAAATTTGCAGTTAGGATGAATGGTAGTATGAAAGGAATACTTATTCAGAAATTGAAAAGTAAAATCAAAATACGGGAAAATTTCAAATAATAAAAATTGAAATAGTGCTCCTCATGTCAACATAGCCTTAAAAAATACATTGATAGCCTTAATGTGTTAAAAACTCAACAATGCATGAAGGCTGTGTCAAATGAAAAGAAATGTGCAACATATGACATGAAAATGAATTAACACGTTTAAAAACGTCTACTATACCATTCTCATGATAATGAAAGCAACAGTAATAAAGATGATAATATCTGAACCGCAATTAAAACCACAGCGAATACATTACACATAACGATATGAATTACTTCAACACTATACAACAACAAAAACAACAAAACAATTACAATAACTGTAACGATTACGAAGACAAGGCAGCAACAACTCTCAGTACTGTTGTTCAACCTTCATAAATATATCAGCAGTTTCGAAATACTAATAATATTGGTAAAACGATCAAAAGCTGTGGCTTTTAATTTGTACTAATGCATTAGTGCTTAATTTATAGCAATGCATTCTTCGCAACAATAGAAAATTGTATATGAGAATAAATAAAGTGCTGATTTCTATCAGTTACATCGAGTTTAAAGAACAAAAGTAAGACTTCCGAATTTCGAAATATTTAGTGAACAGTGCAGCACTCCTGGGTGCCACTCTTTTTTCTTCTTTGATCTTTTACTTGTTTCTCCCTCTATTTGTTTGCCAAGAAAAAATTTTTCCCTAAATATAATGCCCACAATTTAACAAAAAGGAGTTCAAAAATCTTAACTTTATGAAACATTTACTTCTACTTCACTAAAAAGTGGAAAAAAAATATGCAGTATACCTGGGAAGGATTCAATGGTGGATATCGGTTTGATAGTTCATAAATGGCATGATGTGATGGATGTTGCGCTATACCAGTCTGAGGATCTAACACCGTGTATCGACCCTTCCGTTCGGTTTCTACCCGGCTATTCCATTTCGAGCAATTCTTCATCATTTCTATGTACAACGATTCCGATATCATTTCAATCTGAAAATTACATCATCACACCGTCTACCTTCTCATCTATCCGGAAATAATAACATATGCTAAGCCCGGTTAACCTATCTCGACATGCATACAATCATAGCCTAATCAATCAAAGATCATTGCGAACCAATCCATGCTCATTGATTTTCAGCAAATGAACTCGCCTGGACGAACCGCAAATTCCTCACAAATGGTTCGGCCGCGAATCATGTCTACATTGGAACAAAGGACTGTGGAAAGCGATTTATTACAATTATCGGTACCAATTTAAGACTCCAGCTAAATTTCAGTACTTCAGAGTTTACTGTATTAACCCCCTTAAAAGTAATGGTGAATTAAATTTAGTTAATTTATCCTTTTGCATTCTCAATAAAAATGGGTTTTAATTAACATTGATTTTTCAATTCCATTTTTTGTAGCAAGATTTAATAAAGATATTTATTGCTCTTGAAATTTGAAGGAAAAGTTAACAAATTGCATTTTTTTAAATTTCTAATAAATCGTGATAAATGTTAGTTATGCTCATTGATCAGACAATGTTTAATTTCGTATAAATTTTTTTTAAACAATTCAGATTTTTATAGTCAACAACTATGCGGTTGACAATTTAACTCTGTTAGCATTCTTCTGTTTTTCTCTCGTCTAAAACTAAATTTAATTAAACTGATTCGTGTTAGTATGAAATTTGTACTGTGCTTGAAATTACTTTTTCATATGCGATGATTTCTAGGCAGTTATGATCTCGACACGGATTTTTTTGGATTATTTGTGTGTATTCTAAAGATATTCCAGAGTTGACTTCATGTGTTCTTCGTAATTTCTACATGTTCTATATTTGGTCTTCATGCGTTCTTATTGAAATAAAATGAAATTCGTGCTAGCCATAACACGAGAATTTCTGTGTAAGCATTAATTATTGTCGTTAAAAACGATGATTATTCCCGGCGGTTTGACCAATAAACTCTTGCGACATTTGATCACCGACAAGAGTATTAAATGCCTGCTGCTTCATTCCATGCAAAATTCATCAATTTATGATGCAAGTTTGATTTACTTATTTTACTAGTAATCTTCTGGTGCTAAATGTGACAACTGCCTACATACCGTCATAGTTACGATAAAAAAAGCTTGAAAATCTGAAGTCAAGTCTTCAACTTCTAGTTAAGTACTGAATGAAATTTAAGCATATAAGAGTGAATTACATATCTAGAAGTGAGTTATATAGATGAGAAATGCAGTACTTATGTGGAGAAATAAATTTATATTAATGTTCAATAATTAATCATAGATATTATTGTGACAGGTCACTTAAATGCAAATGGAAAGATCGAAATACTGCACAATTTTGAAGGGCTTTTTTTCTAAACCACTTATGATCCAAATACGCAAAAAAACCGCATGTTTGTTATTGCGCCTAATCAACAATGTAGACAACCATTTATCATAAAACTTCAACTGTATAAGTATACTTTTGTTGAAAAATTCATACTTTATCATAAACGTGACATTGTCTTCTATTAATTACATTTTCAAAATTAATTCTGGAAAGGAGAAAGGAGCTTTCAGAATTCAAATAAAGAACATTGTTAATTTTAGATCAAAAAGCCATTAGAAGATTCTGCAAAAAAAAAGGATTCAAGGCTTCTGTGGAATAGACGTTCCATTATTGGATTGGTAATGATTTTTTGGCTTTTTATATTTTTTTTTCTTAATAAAATTTTTTAACATTAACTTTTGATCAAAAAAGATGGAATGTATAGTAGCTTTTAACACAAACTTTTTTGAGACTTGTTCTTGTGAATACAATAAAATATTTTAGGTTGCACCGCTATTGGCGTTTACTCTTGGTACTTGGCAGTTACAGCGCTTGCAGTGGAAGACAAATTTATTGAAAAAAATAGAAGATAGGATGAAGCAGGAAGTTGTCCCATTTCCAGAAGACAAGTTATACTTTGAAAATATTTCGAAAATTCATTCTCTCTTGTAGCAGTGTACGCCGAATAATTTTTTAAACTATTTGATTTCTGAAAAAACTCTCTATCTGTAAATACATATATGTATTTGCACATGGCCTGCATACGTGTATATAGATAAATATCTAATGAATGGAAATCCAACTTTGATGAATTTAGCTTGTCGTTACTGGATGATCTTGAATATGCAAAGGTGAGAGTAACGGGCGAATTTCTTCACGACCGTGAATTTTATGTTCAGCCAAGACAACGATTTGATAAAGGTAAGTCTCATTTTACGATTTTTGTGCTTTGTAAAAATGAAGTATAAATGGAATTTCCAGATACAAGTATATCAAAAAATCGACCTCCAGTGAATAGTTTTGGGAGCCCGGGTGCGCAAGTTATCACTCCGTTCAAACTCCATCAATCAGGGTAAAGTACAAAACAGTTACAAAACAGTTTATTCAAGTTTAAATGAGATGTTACTTATTTGGCTTAAGTTTAGGTTATGCAGATTTAATATCTAATTATCAAAGACATACAAAAGCTCATGTTATCATATATTTTTTAATAGGATTCAAATTCTAATGCACCACAAAATTTAAAAATATGTGATTTTTTCCTTTGCTTTATCAATTTTGTTTTTTTTTTGTTCGAAGCTTTTTAAAATAGTTATGAATAGTTTTTATCCAGTAACATCATTCTGGTCAATCGCGGATGGGTCCCTCCACAAAAAATCACTCCTGAAAGTCGAATTCGAGGACAAGTGCAAGGGCAGGTCACTTTTGATGCAGTAGTTCGTCATACTGAAAAGGTAAAATACTTTACTGACCATTGTTCAACTTTAGAAGTCTATTTTTCGCCTTTTTGACCGTTTTAACTTTAATAAAATATCAAAAATATTCCATTTGTCGTGAACTCGAAGAATATTTTGGTTAATTCAGATATTGCCAATATGATTTTTTAAAATCAGGAAAGGAACAAAAACAATTCCTATAAAATTGTTTTTGTTCCTTTCCTGATTTTATAGGAATTGTTTTTGTTCCTTTCCTCTTTTATCAAACCGTAAAAGTGAAATAAAAATGGTGATCGTGTTTGCTTGTTACAAACTAAACAAAAATTATCATCTCTTTTCGACTTCCAGTTTAAATCTATTTCAGAGGCCCTCTTTCATCCGAAAAAATGAACCTGACAAAGATCTTTGGTTTTATACGAATATCGAAGAAATGGCAAAAAAACGCGGCACACTACCAGTTCTTGTTGACGCATGTTATGGTACGAAGATTGAATTCTTGGTAATTACAGTATGAATCATAGATATCTTAGATAAAATGAAGTATCTGGACTATAGTTAACTCATTATTTCAGAATCCAGTATTGAAGGTGGTCCAATTGGAGGTCAGACACGAGTAACCCACAGAAATGATCATATGATGTATGCGTGTTTCTGGTTAGTTCATATTATAACTTACTTTACTCTCATTTGATATTTAACGCTCCTTATCACGCGAATTTTTTTTTCAGGTTCTCAGTTGGAGCGGCGACTTTGTTTGGATGGTTTCTTTAAAAGATATTTTAGTTAGAAGCCTGAAATATAATCTTTATAAAGATTCTACTAGCTGGAAACGAACTGAGTGCAAATATGATGGAAACTTCTGTAGGCTATCTTTTTTTTATTGCTTGGCTAAATAAAATCTATGAATTGTTTTTAATTTCTATCCTTTATTTAGTTTCACCGCTTCATATATTTATTACCAATTTCAATTAAGAATTTGGTTAATAATTCTCAGTTCTAGTTCCTTCTTTTCTTAGTTCGTGTTACAAATATTTGATGAAGAATCGTTTTGTATGATAATAAATTGTTATGAGGCGCCAAAACTTACCAACATTACATGCGATTTCTGCTAAATATATGGTTTATATAGCTCGGATTGAGGCTTTGGAATGTAAAAGATTAAGTGAAAATAATTATCACGAAGACTGAAATCAACTTCTGCATGATTCACTAAATGTCCGGAATTGGAATTTCTTCTCTATAATAAGCTTTTCCATATTCCCTAACTTCCATTTCCGTCATCATCATTTCGTATATTATAGCGTAGAACTGTTTATAACTAATGTTTTACTAAGTTGCTTCTGTCTGTTAAGGAAGTTCTGAACAACGTGCACTTGTCCTTTTAATTGTGTCTTATACACCACCAACTTGTTATTTTCTATATATGTATCGCATATTTTCAAAAACCGCTCGTTTCAATTGTTCTTTGACATAATATGATATGACACAAGGAAAATCTTTAAAAACGCGAAATTTTTCAAGTAATGAAATAAATTTGACTAATCTTAATAGAGTATTATATAGTGATTAGATTTTTTTAAGAGTATAGTAAGTGCATGCAAAATATTTTCCATGAAAATTTATTTCTCGATGATATAAAGCACACAAATAAATATTGTGTTAGAATCAGAAACAAATGTAAATTTAGACATCAGCTTGGTGATAATTTCTAGACTTAGATTTTTCAATCTGAAATAACGAACTGATTAAATAAATGGATTTTTCGCTCTTTCGACTTAAACTATAAACAGTCAATCAACAATAAAATCAACTAAGTTGTGTGTGAATACTGGGCCCATTTTTTAGATTATTATTTAGATAAGCAGTTAGCCGTATCACTAATAATATCCGTCGAAAGAGTACAGTGAAAAATGAACTTGTATTCCTTACGTATGTAAATAATCTTAACGAGGAAACCACCATGTCATTCTTTAAAACATAGATAGAATTTCAACTAATTATTTAGGCAACTCCTACGGCGCTACTTTTCGTTAATTCTGATTAAAGAAAATTTCATATAAAAAGAGAAATATGAAGAATTATAAGGAAAAAAATACATAAAGTACATATAATATTATTACGTTAACCAAAAATTAAAATTGCAAGTAAAGCACTGGAACAGAACAAAATAACAGTCCTCAGATCATCATTTTCCCATTCTTAATCGTAATGTGGAATTGAAATAAAAAACCAAGATATTTCGGGAAGGAACTGTTTCAATCAACACTTTATATCATTTCTCTATTGTTTCCTTATTTTATTTACAAAGTGAACAAAAATGAAGTTGAAATGATAATAAAATAAGAACAGATCAATTGAAGTGACAAAGTGGCAGCTGTGCTACTTTGACTGTAGAAAAAAAAATGTCCCAACAGTATTGTCGATTGAAAATTTGAAGATTATATGTCTTGTCTTTGTGCTCTTATTTTAATTGAATTCTAAATTATTCCAATTTATTTTTTTTAATACTTGTTTTTTATTCTTGCTAAATATAACAAGATAACATTGGTAAGTAAATAAGGATTATTTGATGACATCTCATTTACAACCAATTGTTTATTTCCCTCATTTACTTCATCTAAATTCAATAAATAATTTAAATAACTCATACCATAAATTGATAATCTATAACGAAATTTGATTTTTTCTCTTTTATTTGACGGCCAAAAAATATTAACTCGTAATTCTTAACAAAATAAAATTTTATTAAGAATTATAAGCTAATGTTGTAATTATGCATAAAATAATTTTTTTATTTGCTAACATATCCATCAATGCTTTCATATTCAAAATTTTTCGTAATATTTGCATATTTCGAAACTTTTAATTATGAACAAATAGAATGTGCAAATATTATTGTGAATAAATAATGCACAATACTAATAATTTCGATTCCTTTGTTCAACTTTAATCAATCCGGAATATTTTGAGTCGTTCATAAGAAAGAATGTAAGCGATATGCTTGAAATGCTGTATAGCTACTTTTAACAAAAAATGAATTTCTTGTTTTCAACAGTTTTATAAAATAAAATTGATACAAAAAATTTATAGAAAGAAAAATAATATAAAAAATAACATATTATAAGCAAAAATTAAACAAAAAATTAAGCACATCATTTTTCCATTCTTAACTGTAGTGTGGAATTGAAATGAAAAAGCGAAATTGTTTGGAAAGGAATTATTTCAATCGATACTTTATATCATCCCTTTACCATTTCACTTTTATTTTGTTTACAAAGTGAAATTGTAACTGATAATAAAATAAGAACAGATTAATTAAAATGACAAAATAGTAGGTGTGCTGTATTGATTGTAGAAAAATGTTTCGAGAATGTTGTTGATTGGATGTCTGAAGTCCATATGTTTTATCTTTGTGCTCTCATTTTAACTGGATTGTAAATTATTCCAATTCTTTCTTTAATGCTTATTTTTCTATTTCTTCAAACATAAATAGTATCAAAAAGAGATGAAATTTAGTGAAGTAAGTTTTCAAAATTTAATTTTACAAATACAAATTTCTGGAAAATGCTCCACCCTGAATGATTACAATGTTAATTGCAACAAATAGATAATTGACCAGACAGATATCAGTAGCGCTTAGCTATAGCTATTAATATATACATACATCTAGCCACAGCATCATTTTAAATTTCTTTTAGCTTACAAGCAACTCTTCTTGATTGTTCTTGTCCAACATCCAGATAACATCTTATCCGTTACTTTCGCCCGGATGTATGTTACTTCAAATATTTGTTATCAACTTTTCAAATCTTTACTATTTCACTATTTCTTTATGAAATATGTTCATATTTATAGTTGCCACTTATGAATCTATTAACTTTTCATGTCATATTTATCCTTTTTTCAAATCCATTAAAATTCTCAAAAATTTATTGCAAAGGATTTTAAAATCTTTTCAGTTCAGTAAACCATTGGATAGTGAAAATTTATAGCATTAATTATACCATTTCAACTAAGAGAGTTGTAATTCTTGTGCTTCTTTATTTGATGGAGACTTCTGGAAGAGTTCCTCGGAAATGCGCAGATTTTGGCACCGTAAGATTTCTGTTCTCAAGAAGAGGAAAGGATTGTGACGCATAAACTTTTGATGCTTTTTCAAACATTAGCTTTCTTTTGCAGAATTTCCTACGACTTATAATAACGCAATGGACCATCTTAATTTCCAAGCACTAAACATTATCCATTAAAAATTAACAATTTCCCTCAATTCCCAAGCCTAAAAATTAACAGTACAGAAATGAGTTCATTTTTGTAGGCAACTTCGAACTGTACCACCATTTGACGCATTATCTCTTCCAGTAAGATTAAATAATGATGACATTTGTATATCAATAATTTTTATGACACTATCGTCAAAATGTATCGTCACTTCATTAACCATACCACTTATCCATCAAAATTCATAAAATTTGAAAATATTTCGAATTCTTCGATTAATTTGAGTAATTTTACAAAAAAGCAATTGTTGCATTTCAAGTATTGATACCAATGACGACGATAAATGTGGATATTTCAAACAGTTTAAAAAAGATTGATCAATGGGATTGGCCACTTAATAAGGATGATGGCATGGTAAAAGTTGTCAACACCGATGAAAAATTTGAAGTGATCCTTGAAGCTGTTTATTTCCAACCGAAAGAGATCGAAGTAAGTCTGTTTACATGACTTTTGCTTTCTCCGAGAATTTTTCACATAAAGTCAATTTTGGGAATTTAGCTCGAAAACCCACTTTACTTCAAATGTTGCATTTTCAAAAGACAATCAATCACCCTATGTTTAGGTTAAAGTAATTGGTGATCGGTTAGTTGTCCGATGTTTGCGAGAACCAAAAGAAGGACAATTCGGTGATATTAGACGAGAAATCAGCCGAAGCTACAATCTTCCCCCAGACGTTGAAATCCAAACATTAAAATCGAGACTCACAACCAAAGGCCATCTTGTCATCACTGCTGATAAGAAAAAATAAAGCATCCATTCATTATTATCACCAATACTTTTATACCCTCTAAGCACCAATTTAACCCTGTAAAACAAGAAATTTTTGTGATTAAAGGAGTTAGAATACCGTTATTTAATAGGAATTTCTTAGATTTGTAAAAGACAACACTGTTAAGTAAATAAGGAAAATAATGAATGATATGGGACCCATAAATGTCTCTCATATCAACTCTCACTCTTTATTAATAAAGCACATTTGTAATATATGACAGTATTTTGGTAATATTTTTGTGAATGCAATTACTGAACTCGATTTTGTATTTCTTTAATTTTTACCAAAATTACTGTTACATTACACTTTTGTTCAGAAATTGAATAGCACAGCTTATTGTTTTCCACAATTTCATATGCAAATTTTTTTCCACATTAATTGCAATTATATTCCAGAATCCATTAGTCAAGGCAGAATGATGCAGAATGAAAGCGTATTATTTGATTAAATTTAAGGCTTATTAAATAAAAGAGAAAAGAAGTAACTCAAAATTTAAATTCGCTAAACTTCATGAAAATCAAAAGACAGTTTCATTGTTCACAAAATGCACTTTCGGTAAATACGTGCAAGATTATAATTAGCAACAGTGAGATCGTTAGCGAGAAATAATTTGATAGCATTTGTGATCTTTCTCAATGCTATCTCCCAAGAATATCTCAACTTTTTTATTGAAATCACCCTTGAGGAGCAATATAAATTAAGCAGTATTAATTAATAATAA